GAGCATATCTGCACCTGCACTGTTGCACGGCGCCTCTTTTGCTTTGTTTTACCTCGAGTAGTTGGCTGAGCGATGAGCGTCGAGCGAAGCCCATTACTTGACTGACCGAAAAAGTTTCATTTTGTTTGTTTGTTTACACGATAACTTGAAGGAATTGAGATGCCGATCTGGGAATTTCAGGGACGATTTGAATCATAAAGAGACAGATCGAGTTCGAAGATGAGCATTCTAGCTCAAAAGATTTACTTTTCAAAAAATCAAAACCCACAGGTCGCAAAAGGTATTTTTGATCGAACATCCGTTTTGCTCTATCGTTTACTGTTTCGGGTGCTAGCGGGCATTTCTTGACGAAAATAAGGTGAAAATGACAAAAAAATGGTCTATTAAGTCGTAAAGAAGGCTTCAAATCGCTGTCCTATTACTGAATGCTCAAACCACTCCTTGTGCCCTACAATACACAAGGCGTTAACGACATTCGTAATCACGGAGGCACAAGTGTGGGAATCGCAAAGGAAAATTCACACATTTACTCCGATAGGTCATTCACACACCTACAAGTGTGCAACATTCACACACTTGCGTTTACAGTGCACGATTCGTTGCAAAATAATGTGCGTTACATTTGTTTAGTAACGAAAACTCAGTGAAATTTTTCTAGTAGCCACTCGTTTGGGTTAATATGTCCTCCCGCTCAAAAGATAATTCCGAAAAGGTCAAAATAATTTCGGCGCGTAGTTTAGACCATTGAGACATCAGGTATTGCACCTGCAACTGTTCGACAGTCTCACACTTGAGTTTCTAGAGTACTGAAAGGACAGCTACTAAGGTAGGTGCAATCTCATTTGCATTTGTGATCAAGTATAACTTCTCGGTCTCCATATTACCTTTACGCGTCGATGGCTGGCAATCTCGAACCTGTGAGGAGTGCACCCTCGTTGGCCCACCACCCACCTGCACGCCACATCCCCGTGATTGGGATAGGTGTTGTGGTGTGCAGCAGTTTTCTTTTCGTTAACGGGCTTACAAATTTATCAGTGTGCTTGGGGATTATTGGGTTGTCAATCACGCCTCGCTATCCTTTCTCTACTAATCCTCGTGCAAAGGTTACTGTGTTCGTTACGATAGTATTCAGAATTCTTTGCCTTCAATAACATGGAGCGTGCTGGCTTTTAATTACTTTTGGTCGCTTTTACCCAGTGGTTCTGCTTGATCTGCACGCAGTGACGCCCGTTGCTCGTTACAAGCCAGTTGATTTTGTACCGAGTGTAACTGTGAATGCGCAACAGTGTTGCGGGTTTGCCTACCTAGTTAGCCCGTAAGGCGCCATGGCCCCTGCAGCCCTGGCGGGTATGCAATCCCGCAACACTGTTGCGCATTCTCAGTTACACCCGGTACACACGTTCGGTTGAAAGCTTATTGTCAGCAGTTGACTTGAGAAGCACACACTTGGTCTCGTTTGTAATTGAGTGCCTGCGCGATTTACTTATTCCAGAGAAGATTGAGGTCGATATTTGGACACCTGAAAAAACCGCATGTCTTTAATCTGCATTCTGACTGCTTGCCCTAGCGCACATACTGTAAGGTTTTCCAGTTCGCGGATCCGTTCGGAGCCGCATACGGACTCTGTGGAACTTACGAACGCTCGCTCTGGGAAAAGCACAAAAAATTGCTTTTAGTTTTTACATGTAATAATTTTCCTTGGCCTTCGAATTAACACAGTTGCAACCGTTTTAAGCCCGCCCAGTACGAGCGTACACAGCAAATATATTTCGGGGAAGTTCCCGGTTGAATCCGGGAAGTAATTTTCCGGATGCTATTTTTCGTCATATCTATGTATGTTATAACATTTGGAGCAACCGGAAAATGTACTTCCCGAATCCAACCGGGAAGTTCCCGGAAAAATGATTGCTGTGGTACGCAAGTTCTGCAGCGTTCCTGCGGATCCGAAGGGATCCACGGTTAAGTTGACAACGTTGAGCTGCATGCTTCCAAGCATTCTGATTAATCAGTCTGTTAAGTACACTGTTGGACTTATTTCTGTATAATTTCAGTATGGGGAAGTGGAAAGAGCTTTCTCGTGCTTGCTGCTCAGTCAGATCAAGATTCTCTCCAAGTTATTTCAGGGTTATCATGCAAATACCGTGTTTCCGCCGCTACCACACCCACGCGCCTGGCACCGGATTAAGCTAAGTGCACGCATCCGTTGCGACGTTACAGGACATGGGTGCTTACATGTAAGCAGCACACAGGGCACTTCGTGGTCTAAAATAGATTTTTAGACCGGTGACAACTGCAAGCGATACTACTGCCCTCAATGACTCAATGACTCATCTAACACTACTTTTGTATAGTTGTTCCAGGGTCCATTCGAGGCAACTTGCTAACATCTGCTAGGGCCAATTTTAACAAATTTAAGAATGTGTCTTTAACCGTTCAAAAGTGGTCTACTGTGGGTCTAGGTGGGTGATAATAAAAAAAAACACGCATTTTCAGGTTACAATCAGTCCACAATGATAATTTTTCATCTTCTCAAAGTTCTATGTTGCCTCTTCGAGGCGGGGTTATGGACTTGGATATTGTCAATCGGCGCCCTTTAGTTACGTTGTTATGGCGGGTTCACGATGGAGTTGGTTATTTCGGAACAGAACGAGATTTTAGCGGAACAGAACAAAATTTTCGGTTGCGGAACGAAGGGGTATTTACGATGTTTCATGCCGGGTTTACGATGGAGCATTTTCGGGACAGAATGAAATTAGTGCGGAACGGAACGAATCCCGTTTGCTTGTTTCTTATGGGCGAGTTTATGATGGCGTTTTGACGGAACGGAACGAAATCTCAGGCCGGAACAGAACGACGGGTTCCCATTTTGATGGGTAGGAGCGGGAACAGAACGAAGTTTTCCGGAACGGAACGAAGGGTCAGCCAATGAGGAGGCGTCCCTGCGATACGGAACACACTTTCGTTCTGTTCCGTCACTGAAACATCATAAACACTCCTTCGTTCCGTACCCGAAAATTTTGTTCTGTTCCGCTAAAATCTCGTTCTGTTCCGAAATCACCAACTCCATCATAAACCCGCCATCAGTGACGGAACAGAACGAAAGTGTGTTCCGTATCGCAGGGACGCCTCCTCCTCATTGGCTGCTCCTTCGTTCCGTTCCGGAAAACTTCGTTCTGTTCCCGCTCCTTCCCATCAAAATGGGAACCCGTCGTCCGTCGTTCTGTCCCGGCCACGGCCTGAGATTTCGTTCCGTTCCGTCAAAACGCCATCATAAACACGCCCATACGAAACAAGCAAACGGGATTCGTTCCGTTCCGCACAAATTTCATTCTGTTCCGAAAATGCACCATCGTAAACCCGGCATTTAAGGTCGTTAAGGTTCCATGACTGTACGGCCACGCATCGAGATTTTTGAGCAATATATGCGAAACGGTAGGCATCTGAGTTTATGTGGGAAAGTGTTTGTAATGGCCCTCAGGGAAAAACTCTACCACAATTAAGCCGACCACAAAGTCACGCATCAAAAAGGACTTTTAGATAATAGACGTTTTTCCAGTTGTGAAAGCGAAATTTTGAAAACACCTTACTTCACGTTGTATCTTTTTATTTTAAGTTCATCCAGCTAGGGCTATCGGGCGAGCAAATGTGCGAACACATACTGTATCATTTTGA